GGACCCATTAAGCAGTGACTAACTATATTAAAATAATTTGCTAAGGTTTGTATCACTTGGGCATTGAAGCTTAGTTTTGTCTTGAACTGGAATGGAACTCTTTTTCTCTTTGGAATGGCTAATTCCAGTTCTTGATATTGATGTTTGGTAACCTTTCCTTCTTTTCATTCAGAAACATGCCAATGTGACTGTAGGAAAGAATGGTGTCACCCACTGTCCTGATATAATTCATGTTTGTGCTTTTTATGATTTAAAATTTTTTTAAATTCATTTTCTTCCCTGGTTGTATATTTCTCATTGAAACACTATTTCAAAGAAGTTCTGTGGTTAATTAACATCATCATTAGAACAGGCTTAGGAGTCAGATTTATTTTTGTCCATGTTTTGTGCCTAATACAGTTGTTTGCATGTGTTAGTCAAATAGTAAATAAGTATGGAATGAATGAGTCACTGGTTTGAATGAATCCTGGAATTTGCTTCCTGGAAAATAAGTCTGTTATGGTCCTGAACTTCTTAGATTTTTTTCAGTAAGTCCGAATAAATGTAGTAGTATTTAAAGGAAAAAAAAAAATGGTCTGTTGGAACTGTATTGTTAATTTTCTGCCAAGTAATGATGAAGCAATTCTAAATGTTGACAGGTTTCAGGCTTTAAAACATCTGTATGTTCTGGGGCTAGATAATTTGTTTGATTTTTACCAATGTAAAATATTGAATTGTTCTAACAAGGAAAACTGGATACAGGCTTACATCATTAAATTTACTTCTCAAGTTCATAAGGTAAAGAGCAACTTTCAGATCTCAGTCTGGATTTATAATGTTACCTAGCTTAACACCTAGGCCTCTCCCCACCCCAGTAACCCCTCTGTATGGAATCATAAATGTCAAAAAAGTCAGGGATAGAAATTACTGCTTCCCTTAGTACCTCAGAACTTCTCTGTAGATTTCAGGTGGTGTTAAACTGGCCATTTCCTTTAAGATAGAGGGTAATGTCATAGTGGTTATAATGATTTTCTGCACAGATATTCCAGGGCATATGGTATCTTTGTTTTAATTTAGTAAGGTAAATTAAAATTTAGTAGTAAATTGCAAGTAGATGAGCCTTTAAGCTTGGATACACAGCAGTGCCCTGTGTTCGTCCATCGAACATTGTTGACTCATGAATGACACTTGAATGGTTACAGATTTACCTGTGCTGTGGACAGAGAGACTCCCCACTCCCAGTGAGTGAATGCATGAATAAGATGAATGAATGAAATTTCTGATTCTTTTGGTCTTTTAGAAATAGTCTTTGTTGACATTGTCAACACTTTGAACATACTTTATAATTTTGTTTTTTTCCTAGAACTATCTAATTGACTAGCTTAAGACCAAGAAACATTCCATTGATGCTAAACATTTAATAGCAGTGTCTGTATTGTATTACACTTAAGAGATTTGAACTTCTGTTTTCACTCAGATTTATAAAATAAGAGAATATAATGAAAATACTCAAAAAAATTGCACGGACAGATTGCTGTAAAGACAAGACAACATTGCTAAAACAAGTGCTGGTTGGCAGGCCATTTGGGAGCTCTTGAAATGTTTCTTCACTAACATTTTAGGGGTGTCAAGTGTTCAAAAGCCAAGTGTACCAAAGTCAAGGCAGTATGTCATTTGGTGGGTTGTGGGAAAGGGGAAAGTTAAAATTTTCTTGATTGCTAGTTCTCTTTAAGGAGAGGCTTGGTGGAGTGGAATCAACTCTTTTCAAAGTAGTTTTAAAATGATCCACTAGCTCCTTTGTATTACTGACTGACCAAAAGAATTTTACCTGCTAATTACATCTCAAACTTCTCTGGTCTTCCCCATGGTTATTGTAAAGCATGTGAGATGAGTAGAGAATATGATAATCTTAAAAATACAAGTGAGATAATCTCTTCCATTGGTAATAGTTTCTGTTTTTGTTTTTTTACTCATTTGTGTTCAGAGCAAGAAATACTGGATTCAGGGAGAGTTACTTTCTTATTTTTAGAAAATCAGATTTATATTTTGAACATTTATTGATTTTCTTTTTTTAAGAAAGTTATAGTGTGGAAGATTCTTGTATTACTTGCTAGGGCTGCCATAAAAAAATAACCAGGCAGTGGGTGCTTAAGCAACAGGAATTAATTTTCTCACAGTTCTAGAGGCTAGAAGTCTGAGATTAAGGTGTCAGCAGGTTTGGTTTCATCTGAGGACTCTTTCATTGGCTTGCAGATAGCTGCCCCTGCCTTCTCCCTGTGTCTTCACAAGATATTATTCTTTCTGTGTGTACCTATGTCCTAAGTTCAGCTTCTTACACGAACACCATTCATATTGGATCAAGTCCCACCCTAATGACCTCATTTTAACATGATTACCTCTTTGAAGACCCTAGCTCCGAATATAGTCACATTCTGAGTATGAGGGGCTAGAACTTAACATACAAATTTGGGGGGACACAATGCAGTCCCTAGCAATTATGTATCAGGGATGTCACTTTCAGAGCAGGAAGATAAGTTAGGAAGGTATTCAAGAATTTCAAGTGAGAAATGAAGAGAAACTAAACCTAAGGCATTGACAGTAGAAATATAAATGAGATTGGAGATTAGCATGATGAATGGTTCTCCATCCCCTCACTTTCAATCTGGAGGTGTCTTTGGGTCTCAGATGAGTCTCTTGTAAGCAGCATATCCATGGATCTTGTTTTTTTATCCATTGGGATACCATGTGTCTTTGGAGTATTGAGTCTGTTTACATTCAGAGTAATTATTGATAGATATGAATTTAGTGCCATTGTATAACCTGTAAAGTCACTGTTCCTGTAGATTGTCTCTGTTCCTTTCTATGTTGCTTTTCCTCTCTCTTGCTTGCTCAAAGGGTCTCCTTTAATATTTCTCTCAAAGCTGGTTTAGTGTTCACAAACTCCTTTAGTTTTTGCTTGTTTTGGAAACTCTCTCTCCTTCTGTTCTCTTGCTGGATGAAGTATTCTTGGCTGTGTATTTTTCCCATTTAGCATGTTGAATATATCATGCCACTTTCTTCTGGCCTGCCAAGTTTCTGTGGACAGGTCTGCTACTAACCTTATGTGTCTGCCCTTGTTGATTTAGAACCTTTTGTCCCTAGCCGCTTTCAGAATTCTCTTTATCTTTGTATTTTGCAAGTTTCACTCTGATATGTCTTGATGTTGATCTGTTTTTTTTTAATTTGAGGCGAGTTCTCTGTGCCTTTTGGACTTGAATGCCTGTTTCCTCCCCCACATTGGGGAAGTTCTCAGCTATAATTTGTTGAAATAAACCTACTGCCCTTTTTTCTCACTCTTCTTCTGGGACTCCTATGATATGGATATTGTTGCACTTTATGGAATTGCTGAGTTCCCTAAGTCTGTATTTGTGACCTAATAGTTTTCTTTCCCTCTTCAGTTTCATTATTTTCCGTAATTTTATCTTCTGTATCACCTATTCATTCCTCTGCTTCTTCCATCCTCGTTGTGATTATATCCAGTTGGTTTTGCATCTCAGTTATAGCATTTTTTATTTCAGCCTGACTAGTTTTTAGGTCTTTTATCTCTACAAGATGGGGGTTTCTCTGGTGTCTTTTATGCATTTTCCAAGCCCAGCTAGTATTCATATGACTGTTGTTCTAAATTCTTGTTCAGACATATTACGTATATCTGTTTTGAGCAAATCCCTGGCTGTGATTTCTTCTTGATCTTTCTTTTGGGGAAAATTCCTCTGTCTTGTCATTTTGTCTAGGTTTCTGTCTTTTGCATGTTATGAAATCTTGTTATGTTTTCTGCTCCTGAGAGTAATGCTATATTAAGAAGGGGGTCATACACTGTCCAGGGCCTGGTGCTTCAGGAAATGTTTCTGGTGTATGCTGTGTGCACTCCGCTGTTGGTGTTTTGGCTACTCTTTCCCACAGGTCAGTCCTCTGCAGAGTTCCTCCTTGCTTGCAGTGGGGAGTGTTTGGACCTTTAACTAAGTGTGCTTTGATTTGTTTGTTAAAATAAGCCTGGAAAAGAAAAAAGAAAAAACCTGATCTAAGACAAAAGGAAAATGAACAAAAATACCAACAGACAGACAAAAAACTAAGTCTGACTCCAAAGAAAAAGAAAGAAAAAAGAAAGTTTGATCCAAAAAATGAAGAAAGGAAACAAACAAAAAGCTATAAGCCTGATTCTAAAGGAAAAAAAAAAAAGAAAGAAAGCCCAGTCCTATTTCCAGCAGAACTGAAGCCAACACTTTGGAGCACTGTATGATCAGTAGACTTGGTACCTGCAGGGGGCCTGTGTTGGTCCTCTGGGGGAGAGGCCCACTGCACTGGTGGCTCACAGTCAGACCTGCCCTAGCAAAGATGCCCCTGCCGGTGCAGGGGGGTGGGGTTTGGTGTAAATGGCTCCAGCCTCTCCTGGGGGCGCTGTGTTGCTTGCTTGTTTGCTGAAGTCTGACCGTGCTTGTGGGTGGGGGTAGGGGCGTGGAGATTGGAGCTTGCGAGACGTTAAACAGGAAGAATTTGATACAAGACTTTGTGACTAAAGGTGGAAGAGGCTAGCATGACTCTCAGATTTCTCTAATCCAGGAGGAGAAACAGGCTTGAGGGAATAGGTGTGAGCTGTGGGATATCCCTGTTGAGTACCCAGCACTTTGACAGCCAGACGACCTGGGTGGGGTCAGCTATCCCACTTCCTTCTTCCTGATCCTACAGTGGCTCCTTACGGCATGGACCACCTCAGATAAAACTCAACATGCAGTTTCTTGCCTCTGAACCTCCATTTGAATGTATCTTAAGACACCTAGAGCTCTTTTATTTTTAGTTAATTCCAAATTCCTGTTCATGTTAACTTAAGTTCCATTAAGGCAAGGACTACTGTGTCATTCATTTTTTCTAGTACATAGTAGTTTGGGCTCAGCAAATTCTAGTTGAGGGAATGATTGTCAGGAGGATTGTTATGAGTAATTACTTATTCTCTGCACATTTTAATCACCTGTTTCATTTTCTTGCAGAATGAGAAGACTTTGGGACATTCCATGAGTCATTCAAGTAACATTTCTAAGGTAGAGTGCCAGTGAAGTATGTTATTTTCATAGTTTGGTTTCTTCTATCTTGCATGTGTGTATACTCTTTACTTTTCAATATGCGAAGTTATTGATACAGTTCTTTAATCTGCTCTAGGATCATACAGTGAGGTATATGGCTGTTATGTTTTTCTAGCGAGGCAATTCTGAATGTGTGTTGAGGTTAGTGACTAATAGGAGAACACCCTGTTTCTTCCAGTGGAAATCATTTACTCTCAGGTTAAAAAAAAATCTCAGTCACCAGAGAAACGTCCCCTCAGTTAAGAGTGCATTTGACTGACAGTAACAAAAATCCAGCTCTGGTGACCTCAGTAGTTATGGATTTATGTGGTCCTGATGACAAAGTGTGTCTGGAGGTAGGTGGTTCAAGGTTGATGCAGCTGCTCACAGGTGGTATCAGGGACTCAGGCACTTTTTGTCTTCTCTGTGCCACCTTCCTTAGCACTTTGTCATCCTCATGTTTTAGTGCCTCGTGGCCTTAAGATGGGAGCTGGACCTCCAGGTACCATGGCCGTGGCCTTGGCAGGAATAAGAAGAATGATGAAGGATGGTGGGGTCTGTCAGCTGGGAGTGACCCTTTTCAGCGGGAAGGCAAAAAACTTCCCCAGAAGCCCCACCCAGCTGCCTGACTTCTGCTTACATTTCACTGGCCAGAACTGGATCACAGAGCTACCTCCAGCTGGAAAGTGCCTAGGAAAATGAGGTCTGAGAGGGTGAATTGGCCATCCAGCAGCACCGGACATACCTGTGGTGTAGTCACTCGACTAGCCTGTCAGGAGCATATCAGCTGCTATGGGTGACCCAGGAGCCAGCAGGCAAACTTGTTTGCAGGCACCGCTCATTTCTCAGCCCAGACATGGGCTCCGGCCACCTTGTCGTCCGTGCAGTATGTCCATGTAGGTTCCTTGCAGAGAGGGGTCTTCTCCCCATGTCTTTGTCAGCCAGCCAAACACTGACACAGATCCTGACAGGAGGATCTGAACAATGTGACAAAACATGTCCTTCTGTCTCAGGCCTCCTGAGTACTCAGAAATAAACAGCCACATTATATGCCATTTTAATTTTCAAACTATACAGATACTCTCATTTATATCACCCTATTTTTTTTTTTTTAACTAAAAAGTAGAATCTAGCAAATCCTTTGAGACAATCAGTCTGTTCTTAGGCATATTTCTGATCTCACCATATCATCCATCCACTTAATTTTGCATAAAAAGAAAAGTCCATAGTGCTCAATATGACACTGAAGGCTATGTAGAATGCTCCTTGGTGCATTCCTGATCCAAGGAATCTTACAGTGAGAACAGTCTTTCAAGCCACAGGCTTTGGCCATCTCAAATGAATACCTTTCAACAAATAATCCCTCCTGTTCCAACCTCCATTTCTTTTCTTTTGCTCTTCCTTCAGCTAGGAATATGGGAGTTAATAGAACTGTGTAGTGGTAGATCATTACTGTCTGCGTTAAAAGGCCAGTTTTGTCCTACCACCTTTGAAGGAGCTGTCCAACGTTTAAGCATCGAGAAAAGTGAGAAGATGCAGGTCCAGATGACCTGTCTGGTTAAGTTGAATTAAACATTTTAAAAGTACATAGTAGCCCCTATTGCCTTGCCCCAATGGTGAGGGCAGTTCTGAAGGAGTCAACACCCTGTGCCTCAAATATATGTCTGTTTATGGTTTTAGTAAGATTTTATTTGAAGGGAAGTTTCCTCTTATAGTTTAAAAAAAATGTTTGTAAACCACTGGCTTACAGTGTCTATAGGAACATTTTAGGGGCTTGGTGCAAATTGGGTTGTGATATTCTGAGTTGCCTTGTGATAGTTTTGGACAAGGATTTACTAGCCATGTGACTTTGAGGAAGGATACTTCTTTGAACTTTAATTTCCTGTTGAGTAAAATCAGGGAATAATACAACCTTCAGGGTTGTTGTGAGTCTTGGGGATAATGTTTGCAAGGAACCCTAGGGCAGCTCCCTCATTGCAGTGAATCCGTGAACTAACTGTAGTCAAACTTTGTTGAACCCTGGTGATCTTAGGTGAATTGGGTCATGATAGTTCTTGATGATAGCTATTATTATTTTATTACTGATCAAAAGCAGGACTACATACTTTAAAATAAATATCAACTGGGGTGGAAATTAAGAAATCTAATAAAAACTCTGGCCTTTTCCTTTCTTCCTTCTTGCATACATTTTTATTGTGTGTTCTTTGTGCCAGGCACTGAGCTGGGTACTGGCATAAAATGATCAAAACAAACATGGCCAGTGATGTGACACTTCCCTGTGGGCAGGGTTGGAGTTTTCTTAAAAAGCAATTTTAGCTCCACACTTTCTTTCAGAAACAGGGTAACTGTGAAAGCTTCACAGCTTTCTGCCATATAGTAGGGCCAAGAAGATGTGGACCTCTTCTATTTTCAAAGCAGGAGTTCCTGCCCACTGAACTGGGGTCAGAGGGAAATCTCAGGAGTGGTATGTTATGCACACATTACTTCCCCAATGAACCATCAGCATGAAATTTTGTTGCAAAATGTACCCCTCTGAGATAAGAAAGTTGTATAATGTGGAGTTGTTAGGCATGAACCAGTTACATGGGGTTGGGGAGGAAGGGTGAGACTGCCATGAAAGGTAACTTTGTTTTTGAGAACACAGTTCTTTCTTGCAATATTTATAAAATGAGCCTGTTGTTTGAGGCCACTTTAGGCCATGGCACATAAAACTCTATTTTCAGTATAGCAGACATACTTAAGCAGATGCTTCATACCCTTGAGACAGAAGATACAAAAAAAGGTTAGAACACACACACGTTTTATGCTACCTGAAATCTCCGTTGTCTCTCGTAGGAAACATTTTCTGCTGACTCAGCCTCTAGCTGAGTTCAGTGCTAGTTTGTGTCCAGGGTAGTCAGTCAACTGCAGTGTGTATTATGTTCCCGCAGTTTACCGCTTACTGGTAACTGAAGTTACATGAAGTCAAGATTGAGAGCAGGTAAAAATAAACCTTCCATCTGTCTCCTCGTGTTCCATCTAGATCTTGTTACAGAGTGATGGGGTGTCTCATTCAGTGTTTGTTAGAGGCTCCCCATGTTTTGTTGTAGCCTCAGAAACCATGCTCCCCTTTCAAAGAAGGAAACAGGCAGGTTAGGTGGAATGTGGGAGAGGTGGCTAGACGGCTCCTCTGGCTTTAAAATGGGCGTCCAGGTGCGATCCTCTTAGTTAAATTAAGGGAGAATATTGGAACATTTAAGCAGTTTTGATCACAAAGTCTTCACCCAGTACTTGGTTTTGCATTAATGGTAATGACGTTAAGCGGGTACTCTGTTGTATTTCGTTTACCTGTAAATCTTCAGAGTGAGGTGATATGCTTCCCTGTCCAGGGGAACCGTACCACAATTGCCCCCCACCTAAAGGCTCTCTTATCGCCCCACGCAAGATATCCTCAGCATTGAGGTATCGTCATCTGTAACATAGACAAGGGGGCCCAGTGCAGCATATACGAGGATTACATAAGTTCAGATTTTGTCCCACACTTAACTAACTCTATGCCAAGCATTGTGCTCTGAATGCTGAATCAAACAGGAAAGAGATGAGTAAGCAGACCTCCAGAAAATACAGGCAGCTGGGGAGAATTATTATGAAGGTAAAAGACAAGGGGCTGAGGTAGAGAATGACAAGGAACCGAAATTTAGAAGGGCTGCTTGGGGAAGGTGTGGCTGAGGAGGGGCTACTTACAGCAGGACATAAACAGTGAAAAGGTACCAGCCAGGATGGGATTAAACTGTAGAAAATGGTTGTCACCTCCCTGAGAAATCCAAAACAATAGGTAGAAATGAAAGGCAGATGTGCTGGGAGTGATGACTGTCATAGCTGTGCCCAACTGCAGGGGGCCTGTCAGCCATGTCGGCTGGGGGCACTCCAGTGAGGACCACTGCACTTTGGCCTAAAACTCTTTAGAGGGAGGCTGGAATTCCCTGGGGGTGCTTGAGCTCAGTCCGACTGGAATTTTTTCAGGCACCAGGAATTTGCTTAGGCCACGCTCATTGTAGAGGCTGGACTTTCTAGAGCCTCTGCTCAGGCCTCTCTTAGCACACGGACATGGCATTAGTTTACCTTGAGGGACGCATTCTCACTTGACCCTGAGAATTGAACTTGGTCCAGGTGGCACAATTTCTCGAGCAAGTTCATGATTGGTAGCACTATAAGGAGATGGTAGTGAAAAGCTAGACATACGTCATGAAAACTGGAGCACGGGTACTGTCCTTTCTGCAGTCAGGCAATTAGTCTTACTAGGCTCTGACATTTGCTGAAGGCTGGTACCTGGTAGAATATTTTAGAGCTCTGTGTAGTTTTTTTTTTTTTTAAAGATTTTATTTATTTATTTGAGAGAGAGAGAATGAGAGACAGAGAGCATGAGAGGGAGGAGGGTCAGAGGGAGAAGCAGACTCCCCGCCGAGCAGGGAGCCCGATGCGGGACTCGATCCTGGGACTCCAGGATCATGACCTGAGCCGAAGGCAGTCGCTTAACCAACTGAGCCACCCAGGCGCCCCGAGCTCTGTGTAGTTTTATTCAGATACCATAAGCGTTACGTGCCTCTGGTTAATCAGATATTCCTGGGTCCAAGTCAGACCAGACCTGTTGAGCGGGCACCTAATAAAATTATTGCTGTTCTATTGTTTGGCAAGGAGATCTGAGTGAATTTAAGCATTGGCTCTCCTAGATCTCTTGAATATTTTCTAGTTATTGCTGCTATTAGATAGGAATGAGTTATAGTAGAATGTCATGTGTAGATGTACATACAGCCTTAGGAAGGAGGCCACACTGTGGTATGGTTGTCAAGACTGGTGTCTGCTTCTCTGTGTTTCTAAATACAAAGTTGACCAGTGACAGACTTAGGTTGCTCAGACTTATAGGTTAAGTACAAGCCAAAATATACCTTTCTTAATTTATATTGAAGAAAACATCTATCCCAAAGACAAGATACTTTCCT